TATAATCGAGTCAAATTCTAGTATAGTGGAGTCAAACTTAGTATAATCGAATCAAATTCTAGTATAGTCGAGTCAAACTTAGTATAATCAAGTCAAATTCTAGTATAATCTAGTCAAATTCTAGTATAGTCGAGTCAAACTTAGTATAATCGAGTCAAATTATAATATGATCCAGTAAATTCTAGTATAATCGAGTCATTTCTAGTATGATCTATTCAATTATAGTATAATCGATTCAAATCCTAAGATGAATATGTTACATAATAAAATGAACATGTTATAGAATAAGATGAACATGTTACATAATAAAAGGAACATGTTATAGAATAAGCTGAACATGTTTAGATTCCATATCTACATAACGGGCTCTCACATTATTTTCTCCCATTTCCACTTCATACACAAAATTCTGGTCAATTTCTTACTCGACTTTCACTCGTTTAATGCAAGCATCCCCGCCCTGAAATAATAAACCATAATCTGCAGTTAAGAACTCAAATTTATGCAATAGTCATACTATAGAGAATGAAAGTGAAAAACTAGTAGAATGTAAAAGAAATTCCATAAATTAGTCTTTCGATCGAATATCCTCCACCTTCACAAACCAAAATTCTCTCTAATAAGATGAAAATGTTACATTTTCACAGATGAAATTTAGATGAACATGTTATAAAATGAGATGAACATGTTACATTAATAAAATGAACATGTTATAGAATAAGATGAACATGTTACATAATAAAATGAACATGTTATAGAATAAGATGAACATGTTACATACACAATAAGGTGAACATATTATAAAACGAAAAATTAGTTGTGTTCAAAAACCTATCAAATGTGGTATCTATTTATAGATAATGAAAAATTATGAATTTTGGTATTTTTATTTTATTTTTTTAAAATAAATAATTAATGATATTTTAATTTATGTATTATGTCTCATTTTTCAATTAAAAATAAAAAATTGGAGATGTGCACTACACTCTCCTAATTTCTCTAGTTTTGGAGAGTGAAAGGCGCGTGCAATTGTGCCTTGGTACACCTACACACGGTAGTGCAACTGCACTTGATAACCATCAAATGTGCGGACTGTACCTGCAATCTTCTTTCCCATGAGAGTCTCGGCAGCTAATAATGTTGACAACAAATGTCGAAATTACAACAATATTGCTAGCAGAGATTTGGTCAACCGCAAATTTGTCTTCATTATGCGACCTTGCGGTCAATGAAGCAAGTATACGAGCACACCATTCACATAGCTGCAACTATACAAATAGCAAAATAAATTAATAATATATAGTTAGATTTTGCAAGAACAAGCAAAGCTTATTAGAATGGTTTAGCCAGTCCCTCTTTCCTTTTATAAATTCCTCGAGAAAATTGTAAATTTGGTCTCATAACTTTTGTTGTTTCCCATATTTGGTCCCAGACACATCAATTATGGTCTTTTTTTTAATTTTCGTTGCCAAAATGGTCCCACTCCGTCAAAACTTAACAGTCAACGTTTATAACTTGGGACCAAATGTGGGAAACAGCAAAAGTTCTGGGACCAAATTTGCAATTTTCTCAAAGATTATTTGTAAGTGATAAAAAATATTTAAATTTATTTTTGTTAGAAACATTTTTTTTAAAAAGTTTCTAGTAAATGTTAAAAAAGGTATATCCCCTATATATAATTTCCGAATGCGCTGAGCCTATGTGGCTGCTTCTAGTGCTTTGGAATCCTACTTGGCCAAGAATCATGCTTCGTAATTAGGTTTGGACAAATAATATTGATATATTAATAATTAATATTCTAGGTTCGAACATTCCATAAATATTATTTAACTAACTTAGGTATTTTAATATCACTTGTACTAATATAACCCTTTAATTCTTTGTAATTTTATATAGTGAGGTACCAAGTGACTAATATATCCCTGACTTTTGATTTGTTTCTTTCAATTACTATTGAATTATAATAAATGTATTTTAAAGGTTGATAACTTTTGTATTTCTTATCGGTTTTACTTATGTAATATATCAAATTAATCATCTTTTCATGATCTTCGATTTGACATCCATATTGTATATATAAAATAAATAAATTATATTTATCTTTATAATAATACAAAATAATAATATTTACTAAAATTTATTAGAAA